CCATATCGCTTTGCGAACTGAAACAATCAAACCTGAGCGCTATGCAAACGCGTTTTCGTCGACTTCTCAAATTTTTGAACATTGTTCAGAGAGTGCTCAAACCCGATCCGGTCCATAACCATGAGCCTATCTTGATTTTAGCGAGGGTTGGTAGTGAAATCAACATGGGTTCTGCTTCAGGACAGTGAATGAGAGTGATCTGGAAACAGTGCCCCGAGAGGGTCCCCGACTTCTCAAATTTCAATGAATGGCTCTCCATTTTGCTTTATTAGACGGATTTAAGGTCTGAAGGTTTAAAGCCAAAGATCCATAGTTAGAAACGATTGCTGAAAGGTATTTCCCTAATTCGAACGGAATATTGCTTCAACTGCATTCGTTCAACCTCTGCATGAGGAGATATTCTCTTTTCTTAATCAAGCTTGTACTAGCTTGATAGGCGCGGAGGGAACTAAAAAAAACAAACAGCAATGTTTATCAGTAGTCGATTAATACTGGCCCAGAGAGCTCGATCCGCTGGAGTAGCGACGAACCTCTGACAAAGGACTCATCCAAGAGTATACGTGGGAGGCTGAGTCCTTCGTGAGTGCAGCTATGGCGTTAGACGAGCTTAATCAATGATTAGAAGGAGGATACTCCAAGTGTGGGCAGGAACAGAACTGCTTCCCTCTTCCTCGCTTCTTTAAGCGTTTGTCCCTCTCTCGAAGGTAGGGTCTGCTTTTCTATTAGGATGGTAAGAATGTCCGAGCGCCGTTCGACCGCTCTTTTTGCTTCTTTCTATTCCGGTAAAATGGGAAGATTTTCACAATGATGAGATCTCCATTGCTCACTACAGAGTCCCACCTAATGGCAGGTTCGGCGCGCCTTTTAACAAGTAGACTAAGCAGACATGAGAGTCAAAGATAGTCGCGGCGATCATACAACGCCTTTAGCGTTGGTGAATTTCTTCTTCCTGAAGTGCCTTCAAGGCGGAAGAATGAAAATAAGTGGACTAATTGCAGAGAGGGCAACTCGTTGAAATAAGGGTGGGTGGAAACCGCGTCCGACAGACCACGGTTCTTCCAATTTTATTTACAATGGTCTCGTTTTACCTATGTGGGGCTGGCGTCGATCGTGGAGTAGGGTGCGGCAAGAGAGTTTCGTTCTCGGTTGTTTTCTCTGAACAGCGTGCGCTAGCTTCTTTAGCTGACTGTGGTAGAATGCTGCCGGTGAACGGATATGAGCCCTTGCGGGGCATATATATATTATTAATATATATCTATGCGTAATTAGTCTGCTGAGTATATAATAAGGAGGGCCAAAAAAAAAGACATTTTGCTCAGGTCGCGCTTCGGCCTTTTTTCTTCGCACAGATTGCCGTCGCTGACGGAAGTTCCTTAGCAAAATATTTCTTGAATGTCCCTCTATAAGTACAAGCAGGTCCTCTCTCAGTACCCTCACCGTCTTCAGAATATGACGTCATCTGTCACCGTCGTCGAGCTCAGGGAGGCCTACAGTAACTGATCCGGCCTGAAGCTACAAAATTTCTTAGATCGATTCAACGTGGGATAGTTTTCTAGGGACATTAGCTCTAACTAGCAAACCTCCTCGGAACCTGCCCTTCGAAACCCGTCGTAACGGTACACGACCAGTCGAGAACACCACTGAGCTCGACCAGAGCACCCAACATTCCGGGGAAAGTTTTCGTGATGCCGTCCACGTAGATGGCAACTATGAAGATTTTCTTACGAAATGAAATGCGCTCTTCAATTCTAAGTTGGGAGCACACGCTTTGAGCTGAGCAAAGTGTGATTAAATCTATTTCAGCCTAGAGGCCAGTTCAGTCTTTTTTTTATTGCCCCCCCCCCCTGTATATACCTACTGCGGAGAAGTATGATCGACAGCGATAATCTATCAAGTAGCAGATTCTAGGTATCGAGGAATAAGCAGTTCAGGGGCTTTCGAAAAATCTGTTTAGGAGTTTCTTAGCATTCCAAGTAGTGGAACGCCGATTTCACGATTCCCGATGGTCGGGAGGATATCATCCAACTTCGAGTTCACATGCAGCGTATCATGTCAGCGCTGCCTGTCATTTGTGAGTGGGTGTAGCAGGGAATCACTAAAAGGTGCCGGTTCACACTGACGGGGCGTTAATAAGCGAGGAATTGTGAATGGTGGACAGTTGATCAAGTGGTTCCAGACGATCCCACTAATTCACCTAAGAGAAGTGAAAGACTAATACAAATAAATGTGACAGAACGGCATTAAGAGAAATGGAGAAGGTTTCCTTCCATAAGACCTTTTATCTTTCTGAATGACGCTGTTGCACAAGGAAAACCTTACGCATTTCACCTGAGCCAATGAGGCATTTCCATAGTGACAAATGGAGAGCGAGAGGAGCTCGACGTATCCGTGAATACTGAGATATCAATCTTGAACCAACCATTTACACTACCAGCAGGCATCACCCATTACCCACCATGGCTTATAAGTAATGTTGTATTTCCTTCAAAAGGAGGTGTTCTTCAAAAATCTAATTTTTTCACATCGTTTCAATCGAACGAGAACTGCTTTACAAACCCTCTACTCACCATACAGTCGTTGTGATATGATTAGATTTCAAATTAGAAATGGGAGGTCTGTCCTACGAAAGTAAGCCAAGCCGGTGCTGACTCTAGTCCTATAGTTTACGAAGGAATCAGTGGAACCAACTCTCTCAGGGATTATGTGCCAACCTACTACTAATTTCGGAGGTTACGTCGTCATTTTTGCGTTTCGATACATTTACACGTAGGCACAAAATGCGACTCGAATTATAACGAAGCATGAGGCAAAACATATAATATATCCAAATGATTTTGGAACCCTCTATGAAGTAATGTCAAAACGTGAGACTAAAGAGAAAATTTCAGTTTCAATAAATTTTATTTATTCATTACATAAGTATAATACATATGCACATATATTGGTCAACGGAAAACAAGTGAAAAAAGTGAAAAAATACGACTTTCCAGACCATCCAAAAACGGATTGTAGTTGAGTGTGGATGCTAACTGATTTTCCTCAGTGGAAAAGAAAGTTAAAATCAGATGCCTTCAGTTAAATGCTATTCCGACTGGACCTCCTACTGAACAAACTCGACCCATCGAATCCATTCACAAATAGTTTAAAAGTAGAGCAATTTTTCTAAAGTAATAAATCGTTTAATAGAGGATTATGAGATAACGTGACAACCTAGAATTTTAGCGAAAAAATTCCGTCAAGAAAAAAATCGCCAGATGAATTTGATAAGAAAATGTGAAATCAGCAACTATGCCTCTGCATGTCCACCGAGAATATCTCAGCGTTGGAATCATGTTTGTCATTAGCTTTAGAAGATAAATTTTCATGGGTGTGAAATTTCATTTTTTTTAGAATATAGGAAATTTGTTGGGAAAACCATACTTGTTTCACTAGTTGTGTGCGTCTCCCTCTTGCACGTCTCAATTCCTTGGTAGTGCCTTTTTGGAAAAGAAAGAAGCTATGTAGCTTGAAGGTGACAAAGGAGTACCATAGAAAACATCAGAAAGGGCCGCATGAATGGTATTCGTACATGAAACGGATCGTATCCCATCGAAAGGAGGAGGTTGTGAAGATCCTAAGTTTGCTTGCCATTGTGGCTACTATTCTTGCTGAACTTGCTTTTATAAACAATATCGTTTTTATTTTTTGATCGATAGAGCTTCATACCTGTGAGTAAAAGATGTACCTGGTACAGAGAAGCACGCTAACCTCGTGAAAGCGACAGTACACTATACCCACGAAACCCTATAATGAATAGTAACTGATAGAGAGAAACTTAATTAATAAGTCGATGGGAGAGGTAATCTCGAGCTTTTAACGATTGAAAATGCCACAACAAAATCCTGGATGATTGAGCGGAGCTGAATACCACTAATCAAACAAACGCCAGCATAAAATGGTATGAAAATAGCAAAAATACAGCGTCCCTCATCACGAAACCCCACTGACGACTATTTCGTAGAGAAGCTTACTTTGACGGTTGTGTATCGATTATGCAAGTACGGCGCAAAGACAAAAGTTGCAATTAGGTCAGAGAAATTTCAGAAATGTGAGCACTGCTTTCTGCGTCATATTCGTAACACGTAACTAAAACCATGTCGACATAATGATTTGACACCCATTGAGATTCTCCACAACTAATCTTCTCATTTTTCTTGCTCTTCAATATTAAAACCCATGTGTTATATAATGTTTTCCATACTGCGTGCTTCATTTCAATAGTTGAGGTGGCATCCGAATTCGGGAAATCCGCGTTTGCACTCAGAGTGAGTTCTACCCAGTGGTTCAAAGACTTTTCTCAGAATGAGGCGAAGAAGTTCTCCAATACGAGAACGACAATTTAGCGTGCACTGATCTAATTTCATAAATGGAGTCTATCATTCTTGTAAAATATTGTAATAAATGTACCCTAAAAAGGTTCCGATATCATCACCAGTCATGAGCGAGTGCTTACTTATTAACGCAATCGGAAAACTATTTAGTTCTATGCTCCCAAATTCCGTCATAATTGAGTCAATGTTCCGTTGCACATAGTAGTACATTCATGGAGCTCACTATTGATGAATGTTATTCAATTAATTATTATGAATTAGCCCTTGAGGAAGCGTCTCTATTCACTGCTAAATTCGTGTTTTGGAGAATTCAACACACTGAGGCTTAGGGTTGTGTGAGCTGAGCCTACGTTATCCCCGATAATCTAATGGATTTCAAAACGTATTCTCTTGACGTGTAGGCGATTCTTAACGGGTTAGGATCAAGAGGAGTGAGGAGGAGATGGAGAGAGACACGGATTAGTCAGTCAATCTACTTCATCTCAGCTCCTACGTGTGTGGTATGATAATCAATCCGCGCGTCTTATCCACCCAGGATGACATAAAAGAGGATGGGCGGTCCCAGGCTCTCCTCACCACACCTATATACACGCACGGACACACGCATACATATACACTCATACTTCAGCACAGACATACACATACAGACACTCAACTTCTTCCGCTCTATCAGCATACAACTCCCTTATACTCGAGCGATGTCATTGGCACGTTAAACGATGCTCGCTACTGCTTAACGCAACAAGTAAGCACATTTCTGTGACAATAAATCACTTGATTTCATGTCTAGCTTCTTTATTCTACCATCTGATTAGCTGTAGAATTTTCAGGATCATTTTGTATGCCTCCTTCCATGCAAAAAAGCGACAGCACATCTGTTCGCGAACGTGTTTTGGCCATCGAACGAGGCCAACAGAGTGAGAATTCGATCATTCGTGCCAGATATGTGCCGGATGTGCGTGGAGTGAATCGTTACAAGCACTTTCATGTGTGAGTTATAACCGGATATCCTCCTCTTCCTCCTCCTCACCATCCTCTCATCAACTTCTCATTGCTGTCTGTCAACTCTATCAGTCGCTTCATTATGACGAGTTCGTTTAAATTGATGCGGCTAATGAATGACGTTTTGTGGCGAGGCTACTCGTCGACTATTCAGAAACGAATCAAGTGCTCACTTCTGATGAGAGTCAGATCGGTGTACTAGTTCGTTATCAGCTCATTTATGAACAGCCTACGCGAATTTCAGCGTTAATTCGCCGCCGGTGAAACAGAATGGGCACGAGAAGCCGACCAACCCGAAAGGGTCGTCTGACCTGCCACAGCTTCGATCTACAAGGTACACAATGCTGCAGTATTCATTTATTTCCTGTTTAGCCGTAAGTCTCGTTGTTCAAATAATTCCAGACCAAATATTCTGCCAGTAAAGGCAAAGTTCCGAGGTTTTTTCATCCCTTCAGTTAGTGCCACTGTGGGCCGCTAGAAGTCATTTTCGAATGGACTTGGTTTCTGACAAGTGAGAACTATCAATGATGGAAAAATTTCCCATTTCGGACACCCTTTCTTGGAATATCCCAAGAATCTGAAAGCGTTATGTCAGCTGAAAACTGTCCGAAACGGACATCATGAGCCCTTTCACATCCATAATATGATCTTCCGTCGCAATTAAGCTTTTGACAAGTACACCGGCAAAGTACTATGTGACGACGGCTCAGCTAAATCTTCAGACTCCTTTCAAATATTCGCTCCAAGTATTTTCAAATGAGCGCTTGTAGGCAGGTTTTGAATGAAAGAACGTCCGGAGAGAGCTTAACGAAGCGATAACTTTGGCTTAAGAAAGTTATATTTGAACCTTGGCTTCCTATTGCATTATGCTTCCTGACCTATAATTAGACAATAACTACTTTTACCTGCTACTCGCCGATATTGATTCGTGTTGTGCTTCACACTGCTATTTTTGAAAGCAGACTTTATGTAGGGCTTAGTGAAGTAAAATGTTTCATGTTGTTTACAAACATAAACAGTATGCACCAATATTCCTTACTGTAACAGATTCTTGTCGTTAAAGGCTGAGGCTGAATTTATGACCCTGTTTCCATCGAAGAATGTTTTGAGTTGCCCATACAAAAAATAATCCTCTTTCTCACTCTCATCGGATTTGTGACGGTATCACAACAGAATTCCAATTCTGGCAAATTAGTTATTGAATTTCGATGAGGTATTTCGTTCCTGAAGGGTTTTACCAGCTGAAAATTATAGATACTTTCGCTGGTTTTTATCGTATCTGCAACACAGATGTACACACGTATGACACCGTTAGGAAGACCATCAACGCTTCGTTAATCCACTGAAAACGTTTATTTTCGCAGTACATTCATCCCATGCGTGCCATAGTGCCGTGCTGATGGATGATTACGTCATAAGTCGAGACTGATAATCATCTAAGAATTAACGAGCGAGATGCATCAGAAGCTATTTATAGCCTACTTTTTTAGAACGCGTGGAGTCCGAAACATCGTCGCCGACTTGGACAATGGAGTTGAAAAAGGTGATGAGTTTGACCGTTTCTAGCCACCTCTTGCACACAAAAGGTAGCAAAGAAATGAAATAATAGATTCAAAAAGGAATGGAGAAGGGAAAACAAAAGGAGGGAGTTCGGGTTTGACAATCACCCCTTTGAAGAAAGACGTCATCATTTCGAAGCTCGCTTTTCATTTGTAAACGAACATCCCTTCATGCGGATGAAGGGTTTTCACGAACAATTTTTAAGATCATCTCTTGCAGCAAGACGAAGCAAGAAAACCACCCTTCCTCAACTTGGCCCATCAACCACACTGAACACGCTGACGAAGACGCAGAAAGAAAAGGACATCTGTGACTACAGTAAGATTATATTCTTACTTCAGAGTGCTTCTCTCCTTGTTTTTGTCATAAGGAACATACGGGAAAAATATTTCTCATTTCAAGGACACTGCTGAGGTGTACATTCGTTGCTGCTCCATTGTTTTAACTATCTTCCAGACCGATCAGGGAAAATCACGGTTTTTCTTGACCTTTATATATAGAGTGAATATTCATGGAAGGTGATCTACGTCAACCGGACCTTATCTGCTCAATATTGTCCTCTGGGTTAACCCCTTCACACCCGTTAAATAGAAGAAAAGCGAAATCTGCGTTCTCCACTCAATATCGGTCACTGCATTGGGGGAAATCTATGGTTAGTATGCCCTCGCCCTTCCCGAAATGGTCCTCACATCACTCACACGATCCTCGCGCTCCGTATGGTGGTTCTTTAAGTTCCTAACTCCACCTATAACGGCTTTCCTTCCATCTCAGAGAGTGCTCTGAACGAGGATTTTCTGAGAAAAGGGAGGGAGAACGAGGTAGAGGCTTAGAAGAAGTGCACACATAACTGCTGATAAAATTTTCTAAGTTTCCAGTGCTCAATGTCATATATTTTGATTATTTTCTTCGAATCCTTTTTCAACCTTAGTAAATGTTCCTCTAACGTGTTTTCGAAGACCATAGTGCCACTCACGTAGACGACCTCATCGTTGGAAATTCGCAGTGAACCTTTTGTGAGTGGTTATACCGCTGGTTCAGTTGCACCAGAAGCCAAGTGATCCAGCGGAACAACCACACATCGTGAAAATACCTTCAGACGTTTCGAAATTCTACAGAGAAATCACCTACATTCTGCTGGTATCATTTCTCCATACTATGTGATGTTTTCAGTAGAGCAACAGGCCAAATCGGCTATGGCTTCATCGGACTCACTGTCATCGTCGACCACGACAAGATCGACCCTTTCGGGTAGGAAACTGCAAGATCACCTCACGAGTGCTCATCACCAACAAAGCAGTAAGACATTATGTTATCTTCCAAGTTCAGATATGCTTACTTTGTGTGGCTTCAGCACCACGGACATTCGCATCATTGGGAACTGCGAAAATTGAGATCGACAAGAGTATCTTTGGTGAAGAGGTCACCCTTAGAAAGAGTCCGACTATATCAGAAGCAGCTTCTTCTTCACGGTAAGTATCACATCCCGCCTCTTTGCTGCTAATCTAATCTTTATATTACGGAAGATTGATTGCTTCATGGAACATTTCTAATGAGTTTCGTTACCCATGAACTAATTTGTAGAGTTGATGCGGAGTCGAAGACGGAAGCAACACCTCCTCAGCCTTCAACGGCAAATCTGATAGAGTCGGCCACTCAAACCCTCGTAAGTGCAGCTTATGTTCTTTCAGATTAGATTCAAGCTTGTCCTTGTACGAATAGACGCTTCTGCGAAATCGCTTTAGTGGTTTGTCCGACACACAGTTTTTAGAAGATACGTGTTTTCTCGCTAGTGCGTTCACGTCCGCTTATTAACTGCTCAAATCTTCCTAAGAGATTTGATGCGTCAAGATAACGCATCCATTTACAAATGAATTGCTTGAAAGCGATGTTGACAACATCCGTTGGTGGGTTCGTCATTGATCCTACACAAGCGGGTTCAGCGAAATCCTGTACACAGGGATCAGCACAAGTCTCCCTTGTTTTGGCAGCGGAGATATTCAGAGATAAGCTTGTATTAATGAGTATTTACATACAATACGCCACAGTACTGACAAACTTCGGAGTACTAGTTCTTCGAAGCAACTTTGTTCGGTTCAGCGCGCTCAAAAGTTGTAGCACTTGGACCCAACACTGTATCCCTCCCTGGCACAAGGTTTGCGTGTTATTTCATGCGCTTTTGTTGCTAACAGAATAAAATAAGTCTGTGGGTGGGCTACCAAGCCTAGTCCAGGATCCATGATCGAGTGAATCAGTTCGCAGTCACGGTTATCAATCAGTTTTGCACCAGATTATCCCCGGCAAGCGCCGGGACCCTGCCCGTAAGCTTAAAGCAACAGTTCAGGAACGGTTTCGCGGGAAAAAACCACCAATAATGAAGTTGTAGATGAAAACCAGACGATTAATGTATGAAAAACTGGAAAAAAACGTCGGGGAGAGTCTTAGACAGGTACTCTCCCTCTGCCGCTCAGCAATGGATAAAGACGCACGTTGGACGAGTTGTCTGAACGTGCCCGCTGTAAACGCGCTCCATTTTTCAATCAATTTTCCCTGTGGTCCCAAACCGAGCACGATTGCCGACTCCAATGACGACCGGCAAGGGGGCGGGATTGGGGAAATCCCAAGAACACCCATGTTTGAGGGACTTTCCACCCTGTTTTTTGTTTCTGAGGTAAGTTCGTTTATTATTTCCACTGCATATGTTCTTCACTAGAGGCTCGTGTATCCTCAGTAGTAGTGGCATTGAAATTTCGGACCCTCCCTGAACTGTTGCTTTAACGACTTCGGATTAGGTCTTTAGCAGCCTTGGGGGTTGTATTGAGCTCGCCTTACAGTACTTGTACTGCCACGCGGATATTGATTCGTTTTGGTACGGTTATTGATTATTGTCTGAAGAGAATAGACAATATATTTTACTATATTTATTAACTAAATATTCAAGTACGAACTAAGCTGAGATTCCTTCGAGTCTGTAGGATATTGATCAGAGCCGAAGAAGTGCCAAGAAACTATAGCGAATAGGTGATGGAGTGGGTCTGCAAATGGCTGCTTTAGAATAAGTACAGAAATAGGTTCAATCAAGGGAACCTACTATTGAGGGACGAGTATTGTTTCCTTCGAGAAGACGACTTCGAACCAGCTGAATACGGAGCACGGAGCCAGCAACGATGAAGCGAAGAAGACAGGAGCCAAGAAGCCAAGAAGCCTCGTGAGTCATCATGGGAGGCTTATATACAGTGCCGACAGTCTCCATGTGCAGCTGTGACTTCAAAAAGGCGTCTTCTCAACGGCAGCTGGCAAGCACAAAAACATGTTCTGAAAGCACACTAAGAATATTACGGTGTCAATGATTTCTAAAGTAATTATTCAAAATGCTAATAACAGTTTTTCTAACCGCATATATACAAGGTAGCGTATAGCTACAAGGTCTGTCGAAAACACTCTTTCTGAAAGTGTCAGGAGGACCACAGAATTGGAAAACGTTACTAACTCTAATTATGGGCAGTTCTCCAGTCCATCAATCACTTCTAGTGCTCATATATGCAAGCAGACAGGAATCTGTACTGATCAGGAAATGTGGGGTTCTGTCTGAACGGATGGTATAATACATGTTATCTATTCATCTAGTAAATTTGTAAATTTACCTTGGTTTTGATTTTGTAATTTTTAAATACTTTCCAATCACTTTGAATTGTTTTTATTGGATACCTGCTGTTTTACGCTGCAGTCCGCGTTGCAAAAGTTACCACAAGAATGCTGAATGGTGAGCAAAACTTTCGCCCCAGCCGGGATTCGTACTCGGATCTCTCGTTTTCTGGGCAATTGTGCTACCACTTACAAGTTTTGCCCACAACTCAGCATTCTTGTGATAACTTTCCATCGTTTTCTTCTCTTTGCAGTAACATTACTCATTTGGTGCTAGGCTGCGATCTCTCATAGGAGGCGCAGACCTTTCCAGAAGTTTTACGATTGCTCACAAGGCTGAAACGCCTCAAGCACATAAGACTCCGAAGCCCTAAAACCTAGACGTGATGCTTTCATTTCCGATGAATTATTGATTTACAGATTGTGCAGTAAGAAAAACGTTAATATCTTGCCTGATGCGATTTCATTTCTACCGGACCCTAGCTAAGAGCGCAACCATTCCTTCAACTATTTGGTCAAAAGCACTCGTTTCGCACCTTTCTCCTCTTATTTGTTTTTCGTCTCTCCATCATACTGGGTTCAGCATGAAGCAGTTTTGTTGGCGTATTCAAGATCACAAGCAATAGAAGCAGAGAAAGCGATGGAACTAGTTCAGTTGAGGGGAACTGGAGAGGCCCTATGCATCCCACTGCTCAGCAAAGCTTTCAGAGCAACATATGAAAATTAAGCCCAACTGTGAATACGAAAGTCCCTCTCACCTACTTGCATGCACCTACCGGTGAAAAATTATTTCCTACGTTTTTCTGCTACTTGAAATTTCACTCACATTTTCACAAGGATGTTGTGTTCTGGATAGATTACTCTGCCTCATCTGGGATTCGAACCTCGACTTTGTGTTTTCCATTCAAAAGTGCTACCACTACATCAAATGATTCACCTTAACTCATCAAGTCACTTAACAGTCATAATGTTTCCATAGTACGTTCCCTTTTGACTAATTACGATCTCAGTGTGCTAACGGGCATAGAAGCACCGAAATCTGAGCTAACAGCAAAATATTTCGAACAGTGCCTACGATGTCTTGGAAAATTTAATAGCATAAATTAACAAGAAATATTTAGATCTCCGTATTTTGAGCCTCCCAATGAAAAATTCCATAAAAATTTTGGTGCATTTCCTTCGGTGAAACAATTGTTATGCTCAACTGCAATGAAAGTGGAACAATAGAAAAGGTGCAGCGGCCTCACAGGAGGATCGATTCACGACTTCGTACGACCAATCGTTACTCTCATTTTACTTGTTAGTTGCTTTTTTAACGCTACTTGTTATTTCTGCCAAGCTGCGAAAAAAAATCGTCTTTATTACAATTATCCAAGAACACTATAATTTTGCTCATCCATATCTATTATTCATTTAATTTCACTGTTATTTCGTTTAATGCTCTGCAAATCGATAATCGTGCGTAGGTGACATATCATAAAATGACTTTGTGAATATTAGGGAAGGACACGTCACTACGAATTCACGATTGCATTCGTGGTGAGAATCATGAAGGTAGTCATCGTCATGCGCGTGACTCGTAACAGATTCAACGTAAAATGTTCCACCTTGAAAACCCGAATTTCTAACGGAAAAAATGTGGGAGGCTCGTTACTTTTAATGAGCACTGGAGTAGAATTTTCTAGACTAGAGATGATGAACACGCGATCGCTGGCTAAATTTTTGGCCCGGTATTGGCTCATGTCAGCCAGCGCGCTATGTACAGGGTGGTCCAGAATTATAAGAACTGCGTGCGCGCAAGGTCATATACACTTTTTTTCGAGTCGCTACATTTTCATCTCCTTTTCTGTGCACTATGTAAAGGGTACAATGTCTTCTTCCTACTGAAACAAAATATCTTGCACTTCTCGTAACTAGTGAAATAACTGTAACACCTTACGTCTGTCCTCAAATTGAACTCACTAGGGGCTGTGTGTGGCACGTTGCATCTAGCGACAGTGCAACGAATCAGGGAAGCTCTTATGAACAACTGTTTAACTCTTCAATGAGTTTGGAACCATTACAGATGGAAAATTCGGAGGCTCGAAAGGTACAGTTACCACCAGGATAATTATCACATGCAGAAACCAGCTTTCCCCTTGTCGACTTTCGAACTCCCAAAATGAAAAAATCGGTGTGAAAACCCAGCCAGACACTTTGAAAGCTCCACATCTGTAGTGGATAGGAATACCCTGAAAAGCGATTTTTCGAGTTCCTTGCTTTTGAAGAATTGTTACATAGGAACCTTTTATCTTATATCATTAGACTTTAGTATTTTACACCCTGGAGGCAAGTGCAAATGAATGCCCCACAAAACTTCGATCCCCTGTAGTAAGCAGAGCAGAGGGCTTGGAAGCATTTTGAGACGCCTTGGTTGCGTGTCAGCGCACGCGCCATCCCCTTCATCTGAAGGCTCGCGTGAACGTGGCAAGTGGCAGATCTCAATTCTATTCTGGACTTGATTTGAGATAAGAGTTGCAAACACTTCCCTGAAGTTTGTTTGTCCCACTAAGCAACTATATGTTTTTAACGACACAATGTCTTGGTCCTCATAATTTGGGCCCACCCTGTACATGCAGTGCGGTAAGATTGTGTGTTGCTTTCGGATTGCAGAGTATACCGAGAGCTTCTGCTGATCGGTCAGCACACATCAACCAATATATGTGCGATATTACCGGCTTCGTCTGAAACTGAAAGTACAAATTTCCGTCAAAGTCAAATTCTATAGTCAAGTCAAATTCAAAGTACGAGTCGCGGTAGCGTGTTGCCAACGACTCCTTCCGCGGCATATCCATGCCAGGTCTCTTCTTCTTGGTAACTTGTTGTGCTGAGATGGCATCTTTCTGATCGTCGTGCCATCACTGAGCCATTTTTATTCTTCTCTTGTGTTTTCGCATCTCTTTTATACTCTCGGTCCATTCTTTTTCGGCAATACAAGTGTGCAAGACGAAAGATGCTCATTCAGTTATACTTATACCTTCCCAAGCGCCGACTACCTACAACCCCACAATTGAAACACACGATTTGCACGACAATGTGATTGGTTTATTACATGCATGCACCAATCACGACAACTTCATGCACGCGTAGACCGTGCGAGACGAGAGATAGTTGAGACCTTGAAGAGAGAAAAGGATACGAGACGAGAGCGCATACCGAATCAGCGATGCGAAATAGATGAGATACGCCAGTTTGGGCTCGCACGGGTCCTGTGACATCCGAGGAAGCAAGTATGCTAGTGGCGCGTATCGGAACACGTAAGTGGTGGGACCTTTACAGTTACGGACACAGTAGATACACTAGATTGAAATTTCATCTAATTCTCTTAAATAAATTTCTCTTTTCAGATTTTTCTTTTCCTTGATATGTCTTATTCCGATGCAAAATACGTTCATTTTCTAAAAAGCATGGTGACAGTATCAAACACCATTGTTATTATAATATAATAGCTATTGATATCCAGAAGTTACACCAACCAAAGGATGGTTCCTTTATTGAACAAGCGCTCGCAATAAATGGAACAACATATGCCACTCGTTTGCATTCCTCTTTAAGGGATCCATTATGTTGGAACCGTAGGGGTTTTCGAGTACTGCACTTAGCCTTTACAATCATTAGTAAGGGCCATTCGCTGTACGAGGCAGTCCCTCCATAAATCCTTGAGAATCTACTGGTAATTGACTGGTCTTTGAGTAGGTGGGGCTGCTCAGTCCCGGAGACGTGAATCGATCCAGGAGTACATTCCTTCTAAATTGACGTCATACCGCTCAAGTGCGCAGTGCAACTCGCCCGCTGACGCGTCCACGCTCTCTTTCTCGCCGCGCGACGGGCCTTCCGTCGGGTACCCATTCAAATGCGAACCCTAATTACTGTAATGACGCCGCCATTCAATGCTAATCCGTATAAATACAGCACAACTATGTGCTTGAAAGTCATCACTGAAGAACTTTAAATTTTAGACGCCTGTAATAATGCCGGAAATTCGCGGACCCAGCGAGGACTGCTCTGGTGAAGGTCGTAGTACCCAAACAGAGTCATATCCAATAATAGTGGCTCCACCTCGTCGCAAGAGCAGCAAATCACCGGTCAACAAGGAGGATGTAAGTTACGCTTATCAACATTATGGTAGAACGCCTAGGAAATGTTGAATAATATTGAATTTCAAGATTGAAGAACGAGAGGCGTTGTATCAAGTGATCGAGGACGCCTTAGGCGAGACCATCGACCGCTACTCACGGCTACGTACTGAACAGATCATCGCCAACAGCGCTCGAAAACAGGTAGTTGTTGCATTGCTTCCGTATCCAACATTCATAAATAAGCAAAGTTGACCAACTCTCTGAGACACCGCCCATTCGCCTTCGATCAACAGTCTTCCAGCACCTTAGAAAACATTGGCCTGCAATGGGCGTATGCAATGACCCTCGGGGCCACTGAACCTACAAGGCGATGCTTTTATAGTCATTCAAAGCTCTAGTATTGGGTAGGCAAACCCAGGCGTGAAAAAAATGGGACCATGGCTAGTACGTATGTTTATAACCGCCCTCACTTTGAAATTTAGCCTACCATATTGGAACTATGAACGTTTACAGCTCCATAAAAAAGTTTGAGTTGTGAAGAAAGATGAATGAATGTTCGGCCCAAGAAAGGGCTACCCCTAATTTGATGAATATTTACTATAACGTTTTTGGTAATTTCTGTGCGCTGACATATGTATGCTGAGCTCTCTATCTCTGATGCACCCTGTAGCGCTTAGAATTCCGAAATAAATTTGGTTTTTGTCTCATTGCAATAGTTATTTTTTCAATTCATTTCCATTCAATTGGGCTAGGGTGGTGTAGTGGCCAGTGCCGCCATTTATATCCACACAGGCAAAGCTGGATCGGATTCTGTTATGAGCAACTATGCCTTTCATCTCCTCAAGTTGGCTTGGTTGTTGCTTGATGCATCTGAGAAAATACAAAGAACTGCTGTTTACGGTCCCTATCCGGATGTGTCCTTCACATTCAGTGTTTCATTGAGTACCCACTCTGCATATCCTTGAAAAGAAATGTGTGGCACATTCCGAAAAAGGACATCACCACTTCCGACGTCAGCTTTATTTATCTGGCGAATGGTTCTCAACTGCAAAAAATAATATTTGAACCGATCCATGGGAAACCACCACCATTTTGAAGCAATGGAATAGTCGATACAAATGCAGAAATCAGGCCACCATCACAAGCGGGTCGTCTACTGCTGGCAAAAGAGAACGTGTATGATTTCTGTAAGGACTTTCAGGAAATTATCAAGCCAAAACATGTCAGGAACTAAACTTAATCGTTCAGAATAATAGTAGTTAACGAAACAAAACATGTCAGAAAGCTCAGTAGCTTCATTTTCACGCTTTTTGGTTTTTAGGTTGGTGGCTGCTGAGTTTGTCCTGCAGGCTAAACCCTACGTTAGGCAATTTGGTTCACCCACTCTAGAGCTCCTTGCTGTCGGAAATTTTAGCACTCCTGATTTACGATCCTGTTTCGCACTACTCTGCCCAAAAATCCTTATGCAATCTAAAGTGCTCAAAGAATTGGGAATGATGCCGCTAGATTGAGCACACAAAGTGGGTGCCGTGATGTACCGCGTCTTGCGATAGCGCCGAAAATAGTCTTCGTTTCTGAGTAGACAAAATGCAAACGAAAACATAGTAACTAAGTACTCAATAATCATAAGTTAGTATCCATACCAGGCAACCAAAACACAAGTTGTATGACGTCGTAAATAATCTCAACATCTCACGGATAAGCAATGAGTCAATTCTATTTACGTCCTTCCGATGGTCTCATGTCTATTTGGGGCTTCTGAAGAAACAACCGGAATCATGGGACCGATGGGCTATCATTTGAAAAAGCCTTCAGTCCCTTTTCTACTAATTTTTGATTTCAGTATTTTTTTTCATGTTCACTCCAAATATTCGAATTTTTCCAGCTACGAAAATTTATATCTGCTGCCTGAGGTAACCCCTTCCCGTGATGTCTGATGATGCCATCAGACGATGGTACACTCCATGTTCTACTTAAAATTTCATAACTGCTGTGGGAGGGTATGTACAGCTATTACAGCTCCTGAAGGAAATTCCACACGTTTTCTGCTTCAACATTTTAGTGGTGAAGCTCGTTAAAGAATTTCCCCAATTCAAAGTATGCCACCCTTATAAACAATCCCCTAATACCAAAAAACCTCAATCACATTTACCTTTCGCGGTTAAGATGGTCCGAAAGATAGTCGACATTACCGCAGTCATTTCTCAGCACATAAACAATTTTCTATGCAGAATCACAGGATGCAGTGTGCACCATGAAATAGGGCCACTTGTGGCACTAAAGTTGTGACATCTTATTCCATCCCAGTTAGCCAGCGATCACTAATAGTGAAGAGTCACTGGCAACATGTCTTGGGGTAAAGTCAATGAGCTGAGCTGACACTGTGTGACCTTAAAGGCAAGATTCAAGCTTAAACTGGTGAGGTAACTCTACTCAAATGTGATGTAGTGGTGGGAGGGTGACCGCCAGTGGAGAAAAAAGGAAGGAAAACCCTGAAATGCACAGGATATACGATCCTTTTGCTCTACGCTGCGGAGAAGTTCAAAAGGACATCAGGGAGATGAGAGATAATGTGAGCGCGGAGTGCGGCAGAGAAGTCCGAGAAAAGAGAGCATAGCAGATCAGCATTGCGACGCAGACAAAATATCGAGCGGTGGGCGGAGCGTGCCGCAACAGGTGGAGCGTGTCAAAGTCCTTGGCCCCTAGCGCCTTAGTGACGCATTTGGATGCGGGAACTCGGCGAGTCGCCTGCAGCTGCGTTCCATGCACTTCTAGCCACTTCAAGGGCTTATTAGGTGGGTCTGAGCCCGAACTTTGACTTTAACTATAGGTCGACACAGCGCATTGTGAAAGAACCTAAATAGTGTTGTGCCAATCAAGGCTAATGAGAAATTCCGACAGGGCGGACCTCCTGAGGGTGCTGACCGACTGCAATTGGCAGCGAAAGATGTGACCGTGTCGATCTAGCGTGGCTCACCCTTGGCGCGGTTGGAGGGTTACACCCACCAACAGTCTAATCACTCGCCGCAGGTGATTAGAGAACAGAGATAGCGTAGTGTTGAAGAGGGCACAGCGATAAGAGTCGCAGTAATGCGGAAATCAACGGGCAAGGAAGAGGTCCCTTTTCTCAGGTTACGGACCAGTCCAAATGAATTCTTCTTCATCCCTGCTTCACTGATCACCTCTGCCCTTATTTCTAACTAGTTAACTTTTTATTATGAATTCTGATTTAAATTGAGTACATACCTCTACTGCTCAGCGCAGTCGTTCCGTGATAGCTTTGAGATGAGAATCGCATCAAAAGCGCCAAATTTAGTGACGCCACCCTTGACCCAGCCACCATGGTCATGAAAAGCGAACTTCCCACAAACTGACGGCCTGACCATTTGGAAGTAAGGTAATGAGAAGAAAAAAACTGTCTCCACGGGCCATGTTTTAAGCATTACAAGTTAATGATTATACAGATAAAAAGCTCATCACTATGTTTAGGCACAAATCTGGCGCGACGCGAAGGATTTCATCACAAATCAACTCGTTCCTCAGTCGATTCAAATGGCGAATAAAAGTCGATCACGGAAGAAAACGGCAGCAGAGATCGTCGCCAGCATCAAATGCTATCCCTAGATCTGAGCCCGGTTAGCAGTGCATACGTTTACAGTGACTCCGAAAGGGCTCATAAGTTATGTGTTAAGATTCACAAAGGCATCGAATTTAGTCGCATCCTACCAGCCCGGTGTGATGATACTAGTTATTAATTATGCGCGCAATTTGATCAATACGCATGCTTTCGCTGTGTTGCGATTTTATGCGCAACAGTGTGTGACGCCTTACCAGGAGGAATCGCTCACAGTTTCACTAGTTGCATAGGAAAATCGCTTAGTTTAAATTCCTTGGTTATTACATGCATATTAAGCACTTTTTATCCCTAAAAGGGATGTCATGTAGTGGTGCAGAATGCTGTTGATATTTTCTAAGAAAAAGAGTACTTCTCAGATAACGGGAGTATATCTAGTCCCTCATGTGTTAGTCAGGTGCTTCTACACATCTTCCATATTTGCTCATATGAGATCTTCCATAATGTCGATAAAGAATAAAGAATCAGTTGAATAGTCTGTGTTGGTTTTTTTTTTGATTTCGATATGTGCTTCTAGGCCGTAGTTCGCAATGCGAATCTTACAAGGATGTTGTCATTAGCAGAACACTTGCTCCAGGGGGCTCAAACCCGCATCTCTCGCTTGCTGGGCAAGCGCTACCATTCACGACCGTAGCATCATTACATCTTACCTCAAACATTTACCATAGCGTATTAGCTCTCACTGGTCCGTCGAGATGAGTCGTTAGCAGACGTGGGCGTGTTTGGTTTGAGTTTTCATTTAGCCATCAAACTAATCGAGAAGCATGCACTCGGCTCACCGAGTTCTTACCACCTTAGTTTATGACACCTTAGTTTATGATTTATGATTTATGATTTACCAGTTGGCGCCGCACGCATTGCACGCACAACACAGATCTGCGGCGAATTGTTGGTGCGACGAAAATTCTCAAATTTGGCCTGATACATCACGAATATCTGACTTCTAAGCTAAATTCTATCCGCTCCATCATCGACGGCTTTCAACCTCGTTTTCTTCATCAACCAATATCCTCTTTTTCCCGGTCTGCGGACTGCTTCTGGACAATGAACCACGTGGCAAACTCCGCCTGCTTCGGTGCGTGCCCCGCCCACCAATAGCATTTGACCCCGCCGACCTCTACCCCTCTTTCATCGATCTCTGGGACCTCTTGGAACCAAATTACGATTGGAATAACAAAATTGGCAAACCCCGCCCACTTAGGTGCGTGCTCCGCCCACCAATAGCAGTTGACCTCTTTTCCCTTGCACCTCTAACCCCGTTTTCCCCTATTAGGACTTCTTGGAACCGAATTGCGACACTTTTGGCAGACTCCGCCCACTTTAGTGCGTGCTCCGCCAATTGATAGCAGTTGACGTCCTTTCCTTCGTCGACCTTTACTCCCTTTTTCCCGGCCTTCGGGACGTCTTGGAGACGAGTTGTGAATTTTCGTCGCAAACTCCGCCCACTTTGGTCAAGCCGCGCCCACCATTTACAGCTGGCCTCCACTCCTTCACCCACCCTCCATCCACCTTTTTCTCGGCCTCCGGGACTTCTTGGAGCAGAGTCATGAATTTTCGTCGCAAACTCCGCCCACTTTGGTCAAGCCACGCCCACCCTTGACAGCTGGCCTCCACTTTTCCATATACCTCTATCCACCTTTTTCCGGCTCTTTAACACTTCACCGGCCCGAATTATGAGGGCTTGTAGAAAATGCTGTACACCTCAGAGCGCGCCCCGCCCATTCTGGGCGGGCCTCCGCCCACGTAATGTATGCAGGAAACACCTTAGACATTGCTCCTTTACACCAAATTGTTTTCTGCTCTGTAGGCTTTCTCCCAACCGAGTTATGAAATTTCATAAGCATTGCTTTTTTGGAGAACGCCCCGCCCACCGGCGGTGGGTCTCCCAAATTCGATGTGACTTACCAGTGCACACCTTTACCCACTTTCTGGCTTATTTTCGAGATTGTTTTGTCGCCGAAATCGAAATCTTGGTCTTCGGTACAGTTCGTTTCGATGCTCGCCACGCCCTCCGTGGGCTGAGACCTTGCCCACCCATTCCACACTTGACCATGTCCTTTCAGGCGGACCTCGAGGAGCTAGGGAATTTCGTGACAGACACACAGACGACAGACAGACGACAGACGTCAGACGAAGCGCTTTATAGTTAGTAGGATGATATATTATCGGCTATCCAGATAAAAACAGTGGCACACCGAAGCTCAATACAAATCACCGATAAGTAAAACGAAAGCAACAAACTAGGAGACCTTAAGAGAGAAGGAGTGGATAGTCAGCGCGGAAGGGCAGTGGCCGCCAACACTGCAAGCTCAACGAGGCAAAGTTAGCGTGGATTACAGAGATGAGCTAAAAAAGGATGAGAATTAGTGACATTTACATGTGCTAATGACGTATGACGATACATCTCTTGGCCTTGCCGTCATATTCCTAACGCTCTTTGCCTGTAGACATTCGGTCTTTATTCATCTCATGGAATTACTGGGTTGCGAATAACTTTTATTCCCCCAACAAGGAAAGGAAATAGCTTGAAGAATGCTTCTCAAAAAAAAGATCGCAACGGGACTAATTTTTGAACTGCCGAACTGACTTTTTGAACTTTTCGAACTTTTCAGGAACGTTCAGGCACTTTTAGAAAGTTTGAGTCTTAAAGTTTGTCACACTGGGTTCAGTTTTCGAAAGGATTTGAACAAGGTTATGATCTTAGTATGGTGCTGTCCCGAAGCCTCATAAAGATCTGAATGTTAAACAACAATTAGAGGCTCCAAAATTTATTTCAAAAAGCTTCAAAACACTTAATTTCGAAAGCTTTCCAAAAACTTGCAATATTTCGGTGCTTAGCACCTTCGTCAGGCCTGAAATAGCTTTTCTCACACAAGCTGGACAATATACGGGATATATTGAAACTACTCACACGCGTTCGCCTCAGTACAGCTTCCAAACTTACCCAACGAAAATTAGGGTAACCTACCCCGCTCGCGCCCTTAAATAGTAGGGAATGCCATGCAACGGTCAAAATGCATGATACTATGTGACAATTTGAAGATGATCAGCGTAGCCTTCTTGCTTGTTTATTTTCGGGTGCTAATCGTTTTTATCTCAAGGGCTTGCAATATTTTCCTTTCTGCCTGTGTTCTCTATTGAAGCGGTGATAGCCAGCTTCAGATTACTAGTATGCTTGGGGTTCTTCTTGTGACATTGCTCTTTTTACGATGTTCCTGGAGAAACTGCCTATTAGATACGCCGGTGGGATTTCTAAGCGCCTTGCGGGTGCTCATCGAGCGTTTATAGCATAGAGGTCTTCGTTTGGTTTCTCGACATAGTATTTGCCCACACCCTTGACATGTTACTAAGTAAACCGCCCCTCTGAGCTGACATCATTTTTGGTTGTCAGTACAGCTAGCTACAACCCTCTCTGGCCGCCACCCTTATTCTCTTTATTTAGGCTTGAGGTATGTGAATCAGGCGGTTTGAGATTCGTGGGCGGACGGAATATGTAATCCCGATATCAGACGCGGAGCAGTGAGCTTTTGACCACACTGTTCACTCTTTCAGTGACCGAGTAGTTTCATTAATCATACGGCATTCAACCATGATACGTCCATCTTGGTTGTTCGAGTGTGTCTCCATGTACGTATTTGGTGACGTTACATAAGCCTTCTCCCTATAGAAGTATTGTCACCATCGAATACTACTTATCGATTGTTGGGTTTACAAAGTTTTCTCTTTGGTAGGTTGATTAAGGATTCCGCACTTATGGTATGGCCTATCATGTAATGTAGGATGGCAGCTAGATGTGGCAAGCAACACATTTGGCATGACTGGTTTGTTATACGCAAACTAACTCGTGGCCCCTTTTTAATTCGGACGCCTTTGTATTTAGGGAATGGAACAACCTTCCGCCATTGGATTTATCTACAGTAAACTGAATATGGGAGCTTGTTAAGTTTAAATTATCAAAGGCTGTGTCTTCCTCAGCTCATTTAGTGAGGAGGAGCTGACTATGAATACGTCCGTTCCAGGTGTACTCTTGTAGAAAATTATTCCAGATTATTGTTCCAAATTGGTTCAAATATTACATTATTGCGCAGGCAGTGGGGAAGCTAAATTGACTTCTAAGTCCCATTGCCAACAGCGCGATGTTGAGCGTACAAATTTTCGGTTCAGAAAATGTGGAAAATATTGCAGACTTCCAGAGTTAGCCTTGAGTAAATCTCTCAAGTGTCATCTTCAGTCCAAAAGTCTAAAAGTGATAGAATGCTCTTTCTCTGCAAAGGCAAGCAAAGGTCAGTTAACTGACTGGAATAATAGTGTTCGTACAAACAGCAGGTACAGAGAACGACGCTATCCATACGTCGGCGATCCGCCTCTAATGAGCTGGAAGAACACTTGATAATTTACATCCACAAAGATCCCAATATCAAGTTTACTGGATAAACAATCCAAATGCCGGAAGGTTTTCTTCCAATTCCGTAATAACAAAAGGAGTCTCCGTGAATAAGGATAATGAGGCCACGGAATAAGTATTGGATATAAGTAAACCAGCATCGAAAAATGTTTTGCTGCACGCGTAGGAGCGGCCACCTACATACATTGAAGGCCAAACATAGAGTGTCGGAATACCTAATCCACCACAAGACGAGAAAATTCTTGTACCACAAGCAATCGGATGAGGATATATTTCGATGGTGAGACAATTATTTCTAAGTGAGAACGGTTATGTTAGCCACCATAACGTACATTGGAGACCACACTGCGAGACCAGCATGAGAATATCCCATTCGGTGATGCCGTATGTTAAGGAAACACACGCAACTGAAAGGCCACCAGGAAACAGTTGTGGTCCAGTAAAAGCTCACCTTCCCGATACGATTTAATATGTCGTCCCACCGAATCGCAACGCCTGCCTCAACATACTCAAGGCCTGCCTATGAGAAAAGATGCGGCAGGAGAGGGTGTACGACTACTGTACTGACACCAACATATGGTCAGC